GGGTAGTTGGTACGGCTCCTCCACCCCGTCCGCCGCAGCAGCCAGGGCCTCTCCCAACGACAGACCACACACACCACCAAAACCACAACAGACCCGACGGCCAACCACCAGCATCCATTGGAACTCCGCCGGAAAAACAGAGACAACCGAAGGGAAAGCCAATATGAGACAAAATCAGAGGGAGAGAGTGCATATCACTGTCCATGGAAGATCCACCGACGACCGGGAAGCGGGCATCCATCGCAGGCCGGAATCGAACCCAAGGGGTGGCACCACAAAGCTCAGCTCCATCGTCAAAAGCACGCCAGACCGCCGCAAAATTAGGGTGCTCAGAGTCCATAGCAGGGAGAGCGGTCAGGGACCACCGAGGGCCGAGCCCCACCGCCACCAAGGAAGGCAAATCGACGGAGGCAATCGGTGGATAGGGTTTCGGGAGTTTGGGCGCAGAGAGGAAAAGGAGCAATATTTATTTTATATATACTAGGTAAATTTTCTTTCAAAAACTTTATAATGTATTTATTTAGGCTTATAATATTTTAGATACTTTTATATAATATTTTATCATATCATATTCATAAAACATCTTCAATACAAATGTAAACTTTAATGTTTTTAGATATATTTTCTTTACAAAAATATTTAAAAAAGTTTTAGGTGACTTCACATATTTTGATAATAATATAGAAAAAATTAGATGATTTTACATATGTTAATATAATATTTTAAGAGTTTTTAATTGTTTAAACATACAAATTTTATGTTCTCTTGAACAAACTAATTTTATATCGTTTATAATAAACTGATGTACCGTAAATTATATGACATGTTAACCCTATCGTTAATTTATAATTATTATTTAATATCGTTTACTTCATGGTTAATTTATAATATCTTTTCTTGCTCTTTTAAAGAAGATCAATAGTGGTTCCTCACCTTTTTCATTTGGTGACTCAAACTCTAACACTTATTTATATTTAATATTTAATATTGTTTACCCGTACAAGCTTTTAACACCAAAATTTGAAACATTTTTTATTACAAAGCACTATTGAAGAACTCGAAAGGGTACACAGGAAAACTGCACACCAGGGCCACCACACCACCCTCATTTTATAACATAATCATGGCAGTCAAACTCACCTGCGGCGGCGGCGGCGTTTAATCTCATCCTCTCCAACACCTAAATCGGGAAGAGAGAGAAGAAAGAAAAAGTTGAAAAATGGCGGTGATGCAGACGACTTTCCTGCAGTCTCCGTCCATTTGCCATTTCTCGGTTTCACCTCCTCCATCCGTGAAATTCACCGTCTCTTGTTGCTTGGCTGCGTCGCCGGCGACGCTGAGTGTGGACATCGACAAGAAGCCTTCAGAGAGAAATGAAGTGCGCTTGGGATTGCCGAGCAAGGGCCGAATGGCCACCGATACTCTCGATCTTCTCAAGGTGATTTGCCTTTACTGCATTGAGGTTCTTTGTGTGCAATTATGTTCTTTCCCCTAGTTTTGTCTGGATTTTCAAATTTATTTTACTTGTCTTATGTTGTTGGTTGAAGGATTGTCAATTGTCAGTAAGACAATCAAATCCACGGCAGTATGTGGCGGAAATTCCTCAGGTGCGTTAATTGTATTGTTTAAGAGGTTGCAATGTATTTAGCTACTTAGACTTTCAACATTAATATTTGAGATTTTTTGCATTGTTCTTGGTGAATGTTGACAACCGATGGACATTGCTAATTCGAGAGTCGGGGATGATGTGGATCTGTTATTTTCTTATATACGAGGCTAATTGATTTCTCGAACATACTTTTTCGGTTTGTACTAGGTTATTAGCTGAATTGACATTAGTTATTGATTGTGGATTACTTTTGCATTGCAATTTCTGCTGTTTTGTATGGGGATGAGTCCACTTGAAGCAATTGAGATATTCCGAAGCATGTGGCTTAGGCCTTCTTTTTGAAAAGATCGTGTTGGAATAGTCGGCTGAATTAACAACTTTATGTTCAGTAGTTTCATTGAGTTAGACAGATACATCTTATGAAATTCATATAGAGGTTGACTAAAGGTGATGTGTGCGTGGCTTCCATTGCTCCTTGTTTTGAATTCATAGTCCTGCAATGTTTCTCCCTAATCATTTCTCAATTTCCTAAACCCCCTGCATGTCATTCAGTAAATATGTAAACTAACTTTGACAAACTCCAAACGCTATCTTTCCAGTGGCTACATGAGTATATAATTTTTTAGCTGACGTACTTTCTTAGATGGGAAAAATATGCCTGACTGACCATACATTGCTCAATGAAATATCCTCTAGCTTCCTTCTTGAATATGTTTTGAACTCTAATGTTATGACTGTGGTGCTGCATAAAAAATGAATACAGTCTTTGTGGAGTAAATGTGGGCAAGAATGAATGTGTATAGTTTTTACTTGTTTCCTATGATAGATGACACTTGGTCTGTGTTTCAGATTTCAAATTTGGAAGTTTGGTTTCAACGCCCAAAAGATGTTGTGAGAAAGCTGGTATCCGGAGATTTGGACCTTGGAATTGTTGGTTTGGATACTGTAACGGAATATGGACAGGTAAGATTTGGTGGTCCGTTGTATATAACTATCATGGTAGAAACTCTTACAGTCTCCCTATAATGAATTGAGGTGACATCAAGATATTCCCGTAAGTTACAACTGTGATGTGATATCACTACATATCAAAACATTTAGCCTTCTTAAAAGTTTGTTTAGCTCCTGTTGCTACACACTGACCCTGTTCCATTCTATAGACATTTTTTATATGGTCACTTGTACGACTCATCACTTGATTATTATCATAAAATTTGTTTCTACAGGGCAATGAAGATCTCGTTATCGTCCATGATGCCCTGGACTATGGAGATTGCCGTTTATCTGTAGCGGTATGAACTTGCTTATAACTGTAACCTCCAAATTGCAGACTCCTCTAAGTTGTGACATTATGTAGTGGAAGTATGATATTGTTCTCCTTCTCAGATTCCCAATTATGGCATATTTGAGAATATAAATTCTTTGAAAGAGCTTGCTCAGATGCCGCAGTGGACTCCTGAGAGACCTCTAAGAGTAGCTACTGGTTTCACATATGTATGACTTATACCGTTTACTTTATTTATTTATTTATTCGTTTTCTGCATCATCATGGTGATAATATCACTAAGAAGGGCAGGTTCTAACTGTATATAACTTTTCAGTTGGGTCCTAAGTTTATGAAGGAGAATGGACTGAGTTATGTGACATTTTCAACTGCTGATGGAGCTCTAGAAGCAGCTCCGGCAGTAAGCATCAAACTTTTCTCTGTATCTTTGAAGATCATGTCTGCATTATGTTTTGCTACTATTTTGTCCAGGACTTTTTTTTTTTAACCTTTTGTATCATCTCTCCTTTCAGGATGTTTGTTTTTTTCCTTTCCTGCTTTTTGTCTCTTGTCTGCAACATATAATTCTGTTCATTTGCACCAATATCTGTTTATGTCATTTAGTTTGATGGTAGAGGCTAGAGCTTGAGTTGAATAGTTGGTCTGAAAGATAATACCAGAGCAAAGCAAGGTGGACAAGTACGTGTTAGAAGCTTCAACTAGAATGTCAGATGGACAATATTTGTGAAAGATGCTTGGTTAAATGTTTGAATGAAGGAAATCTCTGTATCAAGGTTAAACTGAAATAAGCTACATTTGATTTATATCAAGCAAATGGTCTCCACTTATTTTCTTGTCCCCAAACGACGTGGCAGAAACTCATAGTTGTCATACTTGATTGAGCTTGTCATCAAGTACCAAGTAATACGAGTGCTGTGCTCACCTAAAACTAAATGGTATCAGATTAACATAAAAGAGTGAAACTTGCTCATCTTTCCAGTCCTAAAAATCCTTATCATGACTCATGAGTGTAAACTAATGGATTCGTACTTCCAATTCCATCAGTAGGAAGCCATGAAAATCTCTTGTTTAACAGAGCCGTCATAATTAATTTGAAATTCTTTTTTATTCTTCCCATTTATATATAAAACATATCATTCTCATATGCATGATGTACAAGATGTAGATATGTGCAATGGGATGTCCGTTGGATCTTTTCCATGCTTCCTCTGCTTATAACTGGGAACATCTTGCTGTCTCTCAATACTTGTAAATTTAACAATATTCTGTCAACAAATATATACCGCCTAGACTTGAGGGCTTGAGGGCTTGAGGTGTGATTTGGATGAAGTTAATTTACAAGCAACATACAAAGAAGAATCTTATAATCTATAGTTCTAGAGGAGCTTGGGTTGGAAGATTGGTGTTAATCCCAATGTTGCATTTTCACATGCCCAGTACTTGGCTGCGTTATATATCACATTCAAGTACACATATTTGTTCAGACGCCACTGAGATGGCTGTTGTACGTGCTCTTGGTGAATAATGATTTTATCTATGGTACTATGTTTTGACTTTTGTTTCTTATTAGGCTATTAGCCATCCACCTTTTCCTTACCTGTTTCTATATATTTATTTATTTATTATTATTTTTTTTTTTTTTGTACTTGAATTTGTTCTATGATGCTTTGGTTCTCTATCACGCTGGTTCAGTAGTCTTTAATATTCTTTTATTTGGTGTGGATAAACTTACAAGCACATGCAATTTTGACTTTTATTTCACCCAAAAAACATGATCTAATTTCTAACTTTATGACCCTGCTCTATTTTATTTAAGATGGGAATTGCCGATGCTATCGTGGACCTCGTGAGCAGTGGGACCACGTTGAAAGAGAATAATTTGAAAGAAATCGAAGGTGGAGTTATCTTGGAAAGTCAGGTAACGGCCTGACATTCTCACGAGATCTGATAGCCTGCAAAACTTATTGACATTTCTGACTAAGGGGCCCGCTCAATCTTGTTTGACCAAAATGTGTCATTTTAGGCTGTGCTTGTTGCAAGCAGGAAGTCATTAATCCGGCAAAAAGGTGTGCTTGATATAACACATGAGATGCTTGAAAGATTTGAAGCTCATTTAAAGGCCGTTGGTCAGTTCACGGTGCGAATCATATCTTTTCATTGACAACCATCTTCTTTCGCTTGGTGTTATTTGTTATGTACTGTTTCATGGCAGGTGACGGCCAACATGAGGGGAAGCAGTGCGGAGGAAGTGGCTGAACGAGTCCTAAGCCAACCTTCGTTATCGGGGTTGCAGGTTTGACTAGTTATTCTAAGTTCAAGTTTTTTGAGATTCTGTATCAAGGATGTTACTAGTACTACAATGGCCGTGTACTAGACGGGTGTTTAAAAAAATACTAATTTTCCAATAAAAATTGAAAAAGAATTAAAATTCTTATTGTGAAGTAAAAAACTGTAAATAATAAATATTTTTTAATATTATTTTGAATTCTAGAAAATATTTTTATGAAGTATTATTTGTCCTATTTCATATATATTCATTTTTATCAAAATAATGTAGAATAATTAATTTATTCAACAATTAATATAACGCTTATGAACAACATGGGTGCTTGATAATTAAGTATTTTATCAAAATAAAGAAGTGAAGAAATTAATATTTAGAATGATAAAACAAAATATAATTAATAAATAGAATAGAATAATAATAATATAAATAATTAAAATAATTCCCAATTTTATAATCAATGTATCAAAATGATAATTCTTTTTCACACATATATATACATATATATATATACATACATACATATATTTACATATTATTTACAATTCAATAATTTGATTTTGAATTAATATATCTTTTTCAATTTTGATAATATTATACTATACAATTTTCTTCCCTCATGTAATATTTTTTTAAAACAACTTGAAATTTATAATATTTAATAATTTTAAATATAATGTGTATGAGATTAAACTTTATGAAATATAATAGTTATTTATATTATTCTAATTATAATGTTCATTCTCTATGTATTCTTTATTTAAGTTGAAACATAAACTTTTAGAAGATTTTTTTATATTAGTTTGATGATCATACTTACTTCACATATTTTTCTTTTCCAGTAAAATAATTATTTATGGTATATTAATACACATAAATTTCTATTACTTTATAAGATAATTTATAATTTTATTTGATATTCTTTAATTCAGTTTGATAAATAAATTTAAATTTTATTTTAAAGTTTATGTCATTTTTTGTATTATATATATATATATCTATATATATACATATATATATATAGATATATTGATAATGTTGGGACCGTAAAATTTTACGAACTTAGAGATATGTTAATCAATAAATAAATTAATAATTTATTAATTTTGAAGAGTGCTTTCACGATTTAGCAAATATAAATTTTGGCAAGTGTAGTTTGTACTTGGTGAGCAAGTAGACTTGTTAGGAAAGAGTTTTAATTAAATTTGGAAAGAAATTTATAGGTACAAGAGTCAAAAATAGGAAAGGGGTTTCTTAGTTAACAAGTATTAGGTAGTTGTAAATATGTGGTTTATGTTTAAGGGTTTAAAAGAAATTGTGGATAGTGTCATTGGAAATTCTGTTGAGGATGAAGTTGATGATCAATACATTTGGAACCCAATCACACGGAAGGAAGCATTGATGACAACCACAACTCTTCACAATTTTTTGTTGCAGTTTGAGAGTATGCACTAAAGCTTTTGAATGCAATGGAAAATTAAGGATGAAATCAATTTAGATTTGAATTTCATGAAGAACCAAAACACAACATATTAATATTTTACTAAATTGCCTATATTATATTTGTAATTTTAGAGGATTATTAATTTATGATTTTGATGAGACTATATATTTATAAAGTTTCTAGATCAAAATGGAACCAAACCAATTCTAGATCAAAACCAAACCAATTCTCCTGGCATAGTGCAAATAATGGACTAGATTCTAGTGCTTCTTCTATTAGTGAAGTTTCTAGAAAAAAAATATATCAAACGACGCAACGCACCTTGGGTCGTTATGGAAACAGCCTCCTTGTATAATTATAAGGGTAAGGTCTGTGTACAACTGACCCCCCAACCCCAACCTGTTGGGAATATACTGGGTGTTGGGAATATACTGGGTATGTTGATGTTGATGTTGATATATTTATAAAGTATTATTTTATTAAAATTTACAATTTTTTTACATTGGCCCTAGTTGGGACCGGGAGAAAATATTATTTTAGAGAGTTTTATTAATTTACCGAGTATTAATTTACAGAGGTTCTATTGTAGTATGGATGTCAAATCGAATATCGTTAAAAGATAAACAATTTGATATATCATATATGTAAAATAAATACAAACAAAAAAAGTTATAAAATTTTAAAAATAAGAAGAAGAAACATTTTATATTAATTGATGTATGAAATAAGAAAAGGAAATGTCATATATGGTAATGGAGGAAAATGAAACATAAAATATTTATGGTAACTAATTGTAGAAAAAAAGAAGTAAGATATCAATATGGATTTTAATATGAAAATTATAGACATTAAATAATATTCAAGCCTAATTAATTTTTTATAAAAAATATTAATTTATGTCCAAGCCCACTCTAAAGCATGATTTTTTGCCACATAAGATTTCGAAGAGTGAGAACCTGCACTTAGGCTCAACGCATTCTGCAATTTTATAGAGAGAGAGAGAGAGAGAGAGAGAGAGAGAGAGAGAGAGAGAGAGAGAGAGAGAGTTTTCAGTTTTAAAGATGACTGTCCTTTTTTTTTTTGGTCTTTCTGTGTGCATGTAATTAGACCAAACTTCTGTTATTTCTATCAACCTGTCATGACTATATCAGCTGTCATTAGTACATCTACCTATTTCGCAAATCGCAATGTTGGAGAGTTTCTTATAAGTTATTTACTTTTATATGAAGGGACCCACTGTTAGCCCAGTTTTCTGTAAGAACAATGGGAATGTGGCAGCAGATTATTTTGCTGTAGTCATCTGTGTGCCGAAGAAAGTACTTTACGAATCTGTTCAGCAGCTGAGGAAGGTGAGTGTTCACATTTTTTTCTTTTTCCTTTTATAAGATCCTATACCTATATGTGCGTAAACTTCATGAGTTGGATTATACAATTTACATCACATGAGAGTACTATCTCCCATCATTGGTTCATAGTATTTCTGGCAGTAGTGTGTGTCTACTCAAGTCTGTCCTATTTGTTTCAAGACCCATCTTTTGATATGGTTTTTACATAATTTCCTATATCTTCAAAATTCCCGATTGCAATATGCTTTTGTGGAAATTTAAGCTTTATATTTAAGAACAACTATTTCTTTTGACGGGTGCAGATTGGAGGCAGTGGGGTCCTTATTTCACCTCTGACATACATCTTCGATGAGGAAACTCCGAGGTGGCGCCAGCTTCTTTCCAACTTGGGCCTCTGATTGTATATCCAAATCGTACTTCTCATTTCTGGGAAAAAGACACGCGGGATAACAACTGAGGCTCTGTAACTGAGAAAGTTTTCGTGCGAACCACATAACGTGCTTGTCATGTAGAATTGTTTTTATGGCCTGTTTTGTACACAACCGACTAGCTGGCGGTTGTTTGTGTAATCCAAAGGAATGTGTGGTTGGTGTATTTTTATTAAGTCGTGGTGGACTAGGTGCTGACTTACTTCGTTTTATACCCAAAATGGTGCTCATTACGTTCGGTTTTTCTTTTGCCTCGGGGATGCTTGTTAAAGGATGGTAAAATGTTAGGTATTTTTCTATCAAAAGGGTTGAACCGTGTGAATTAAATAATTTGAGATATTATTATTATTATTATTATTATTATTATTATTATTATTATAATTATTATTATAATTATTATTATTATTATTATTATTATTATTATTATTATTATTATTATTATTATCCATTGAGCTACTCAACTAACAACACCTATAGAACTCGAACTAACTACAATGCCAAACACACACACACACACACACACACACACACAACGACAAACTACTACAACTACTGAACTACAACCATTCAGGAACAACAATATTTACAATCGAACGTTCAGCTCTTTAGGAGTTTTGAAATATCCACAGGTTCCTCGCTTTCTAAATCCATCACAAAAGGTAAGCAGTGAGTTGTAACCTGGATTCTGAAAGAGCAAAATGATTCAGAGAGCATATTCTTGTCCACCAGTGCTTGAAATTGTCTCAGTATTGAAGAAGTCGACCCCAACATAATGGAGAAATCTCCCAGATTCTTTTTGCTCTGCTACAGTTGAAGAACAAGTGCTCAGGTGTTTCAGGGGATTCACCAAAGGGTTTGCAGTTGAGATCGATCTGAAACCCCTTTTTCGAAATGTTGCAGTTGACAGGAAAGATGTTTGTCAAGCATTTCCACAAGAAATGTTTGATTTTTCCTTTTATATTAAGCTTCCAACATCTGCTTCTGGTCTTAGCTTCTGCTTGGTGATTGCTAGATTCAGAAATGTCTAAGAGTTCCCACTATTCACAAACCATTTGAGCATAGGTTGAAGCAACAGAAAAGTTCCCTTTCTTCTCACAATGCCATATCAGTTTGTCTTCTGCTGTCTTTAATGCTAAGAATAGCTTCTTGTTCCTGTTCAGTAAAATTCTCTTGCAGTAGTTCTTCGTTCGATTGTCTGCCAGTGCTATCAATAAGATCATTCACCTTGCAACTCCGTGTTCATCTGCTCTCTGATGGAAGGTTTGAACCCTGACAGAATGGGAATCCAAGGGTGTTCCGATATTTCGACTGAGTTCCCATCTTTTATTTCATATCTTAGGCCTTCTTGAAAAGGATCCATTACTTTTAGCCAACTGTGCAACATTCAAGATCCATTCTTTTTGTGTTTGGCCGAGAAGAAGCTGTTATTTGAATGTACTTGGCTTTAAGACTTTTGCTTAACAACATGTTAGGATGTGTAAGAATCCTCCGCAGCTGCTTGGTGATGAGGGCTTTGTTCATTAGATGTATGTCAGGGAATCCTAGTCCCCCCTTGTCTTTGGGCAGGAGTAAACATGTCCCAAGATTTCTAGTGCAGACTTTTGTTGTTCGATTCTCAGTATTCCACCAGAAGTTTGCAAAGAGTTGAGCAATTTTGTTGTTCGATTCTCAGTATAGGTTGAAGACTTGTTTAGATTGACTTTCTGCCCTGTATGTTTTCTTTAGCAAAATTGAGGGTGTCATTTGCAAAAAAAAAAAAATAAAAAATA